GTGGAGTGTACTTTGAGTCGGTATCACTCGGTACTTGTAAAAATGTCCATTCTTTAATGCGTACTTTGTACATATGTTTGTCATGTGTAAAGATGTTATTTTCTTTTGGTGCTGCAATCTGTAGTTTTTGATAAAAAACTTAATTCTATGTGACCTCTGTCAAATTGCGCTGTGTAATCCACTGTTTTCCAAAGGATTATGAAGTTAGCAACTTCAAACATGCACTACCACTCGATACTTTTATAAATATAAATTATTGAATGCCAAAATAATGGAAACACATGAGTGAATGAGGGATACAGGTGCTTCCACATAGGTGTGGTTTCTGAGTTAATTAAGCAATTAACATCCCATCATGCTTATGGTCATGTATAAAAATGCTGGGCAGGCCATTATTTTGGTTACCATGGCTATGCCCCCATCGGATGACAATGCTCCCATCCACAGGGCCGAGTGGTCACTGAATGGTGTGATGAGCATGAAAACGATGTAAACCATATGCAATGGCCATCTCAGTCACCAGATCTCAACCCAATTGAACACTTATGGAGATTCTGGAGCAGTGCCTGAGACAGCGTTTTCCACCACCAACCCCCAAAAAATAATATATAAATATAGGGAATTTCTCGTGGAAGAATGGTGTCGCATCCTTCCAATAGGGTTCCAGACACTTGTAGAATCTATGCCAAGGCGCATGGAAGCTGTTTTGGCTCGTGGTGGCCCAACACCCTATTAAGACACTTTATGTTGGTGTTTCCTTTATTTTGGCAGTTACCTGGTTTGCATTATAGAATGGACATTTTTATAAGTATCGACTGATACCGACTCTATGTACAGTGCATTCGGAAAGTATTCAGATCCCATGACTTTTTCCACATTTTGTTACGCTACAGCCTTATTCTAAAATGGATTAAATTAAAAATGTTCCTCATCAATCTACACACAATACCCCATAATGACAAAGTGAAAACAGGTTTTTAGAAATGTTTGCAAATGTATTAAAAATAAAAATAGAAATACCTTATTTACATAAGTATTCAGACCCTTTGCTATGAGACTCGAAATTGAGCTCACGTGCGTCCTGTTTCCATTGATCATACTTGAGATATTTCTACAACTTGATTGGAGTCCACCTGTGGTAAATTAAATTGATTGGACATGATTTGGAAAGGCACACACCTGTCTATATAAGGTCCCACAGTTGACAGTGCATGTCAGAGCAGAAACCAAGCCATGATGAGGTTGAAGGAATTGTCCCTAGAGCTCAGAGACAGGATTTTGTCAATGCACAGATCTGGGAAAGGGTACCAAAACATTTCTGCAGCATTAAAGGTCCCCAGGAACACAGTGGCCTTCATCATTCTTAAATGGAAGAAGTTTGGAACCACCAAGACTCTTCCTAGAGCTGGCCGCCCGGCCAAACTGAGCAATCGGGGGAGAAGGGCCTTGCTCAGGGAGGTGACCAAGAACCCGATGGTCACTCTGACAGTGCTCTAGAGTTCCTCTGTGGAGATGGAAGAACCTTCCAGAAGGATAACCATCTCTGCAGCACTCCACCAATCAGGTCTTTGTGGTAGAGTGGACAGACTGAAGCCATTCCTCAGTAAAAGGCACATGACAACCCGCTTGGAGTTTGCCAAAAGACACCTAAAGGACTCTCAGACCATGAGAAACAAGATTCTCTGGTCTGATGAAACCAAGATTGAACTCTTTGGCCTGAATGCCAATCGTCACGTCTGTAGGAAACCTGGCACCATCCCTACAGTGAAGCATGGTGGTGGCAGCATCATGCTGTGGGGATGTTTTTCAGCGGCAGGGACTGGGAGACTAGTCAGGATCGAGGGAAAGATGAACGGAGCAAAGTATAGAGAGGTCCTTGATGAAAACCTGCTCAAGAGCACTCAGGACCTCAGACTGGGTTGAAGGTTCACCTTCCAACTGGACAACGATCCTAAGCCCACAGCAAAGACAACGCAGGAGTGGCTTCGGGACAAGTCTCTGAATGTCCTTGAGTGGCCCAGCTAGAGCCCGGACTTGAACCCGATCAAACCTTAATTTCAGTTTATTTTTATTTCTATAAATGTGTAAACATTTCTAAAAAACAGTTTTTGCTTTGTCATTATGGGGTACTGTGTGTAGATTGATGTGGACAAACAATTTAATCCATTAAAAGAATAAGGCTGTAATGTAACAAAATGTGGAAAAAGTCAAGCGGTCTGAATACTTCCGAATGCACTGTAGTTGGATGTACACTGCCAAAACCCATCGCAACTCAATTCCATTGAGATGTTTATCATGGAGTTGAGTTTAGTCCGCTAGCCTCTGACTTACCCTTTATCTAATTTCCAGCTCTGAGGTTCAGTCCAGTTCAGGGATGCTTAAAGGCCACAGTGTCAGGTGGTTTTATTCTTACGCTTCAGTCAGCTACTTATTTTGATTGGTGAACCAAGGTGAAAAGGCTACCCTGCCAATCAATAGAAAAACTACATCCAGTCACCAACTGGGGTTCAGTTGCTCCAACTGCATTCCCAGCTAAGTCACCATCAGAATATTTAGTCACATATCCAGAGGTGGTGAGAAGGAAACGTGGTAAATCCCTGATCCAAATCCAGGTTGAGTAAAGCTGCCTTCCCTCCATCAACCGGGCACGTTGTGCTGTGTGAGAGAGGGATAGAGGATAGAGGGATAGAGGATATAGCGGTATCTGCTGGAGGGAAAGTACGAATGGAAAGTATTATTCTGATCCTCAGCCAGCTCAGTAAAGCCTGGAAGGGAATGTTGCAACGCTGAAAGAATGCCCACTTTGGTTCCATCTCTGTTTAACAGAATGTCACTGTTTCCATTATATTTCTTTCCTATAAACAAAAGATGATGGTACCTTTGTTCTCCATGCAGCAGATGATTGTTCAATTCAATGGACTTGTCAGGGTACTTCGTGAATGTTCCCTTTGGTTTGACTGAATGGAAAAGCTGAGTTGTTGACAGCCCTGTCAAATGTCAAGAGTTCTCTGCTATCCTTTGGCTCCCTCAATGTTTTCACTGAGAGAAGAGATGGAGAAACTCTGTAGTTATAAATGACAATTTAAGTGGTTTCCTTTCATTTGCATACTTGTTCTTCTACATGAGTGACAGAAAAGTGAAATGATGAATCATCCTAGCTTCAGTGGTGAAACTTTTGCATCTGCGTCCTAGCTAAAGCTCTTCCAGTGCTTTTGTCACATTGAGTTTGCTCACAGACGCTATTAGAATTGATATTAGAGTCCCATTTACATTTTAAAAGGAACTATAGTAGAGAAGGGACCATAAGAAATAACCGCCTCCAGATAACCCTAAATATAAAACTGTCATTTCAGTTATGAAACGCGTTTTGGCCATAAAAATCCATTCACACGCATCCAATAACGCTGTATGATTAGGTAACAAATACTAATACAGCAATATGGCACTGCATTCTAGAGTTGCAAAGCTGCAGACTCATATATATGGCACTATCTGTATCGCCAGAGCACCACAGGTTGAATTCCATGTGTTTAGCTGTGCTGTGGCTATGCCCTGCCTGCCTGTCGCTGAGTGATTGTGCGTGATCATGTCACACTGCCGTAGGCATGGCCCTGTCTGAACCCCCAGCCAGCCCCATTCTGCCACGCTAGTTATTCTCTTTGTTTATGTGTGTGTGAATGGCTCAGCAGAGACTGCATGCCAACGCCAACCAGTCAGGGAATAAGGACATGAAACATCTCTAGCTATATTTTGTAATGTGGTGAAGTAGCCTAATATTTCCTTGTACAATTCCTGAATGGGAGTGTCATCATTATAGTGCAAGGTTTTATGTCTTGATCTTTTTGTTGTCCTTTTGTTATCTTTCAGTATGAGATTTATATCTAGATGTATATATATCTACTATTGTAACACCACACTCTGCAGTCTCATTGGATGTTCCTAAGAAGTAACATTGACATGATGGAGTGTTAGTGTGTAGAAGTGAAAGAACTGGGTTTGTAGAAACGCTGCAACAGAGAGGAAGGTTACATAAGACTGGCTGGGAGGAAGAATGATGTTTAAACACATGACATTTCACTCTCAATCCCGCGCGCGCGCACACACACACACACACACACACACACACACACACACACACACACACACACACACACACACACACACACACACACACACACACACACACACACATACACACACACACACACACAAATACACCCTGTGGTTATTATAATAATAAACACAAAGCAGTATTTTTTGTCCACCCGAGCCCCTTACTTCCTTAGTAATTACTATACCTCAGAAAGTCCCCCCATTCCTCCCTGTATGGCACCGCACCTTTCAATAGCTGCCTGTGTGAGTTCCCTTAAACAAACACAATTGGTGAGGCCTCTGATATTTCCTGTAGTTCGGTGTCTGGAGGAATTTAACTTCTTATTTAGACTACTTCGAAGCTTCTTGAATTTTCTTAAGGATTTAATCCTACAACTCCTCCCTACACTAATATGTGTTCTTGAGCTGTTGCAGTTGGGTTATAAACTGAGGGAGAAAGATGAATGCCGCAGAGAAATGTGTTAGCTCTATTTGTAATGTACCCAGTGTTGGGTGTTCAGAATGGAGTGTTGGGTGTTCACAGTGGTGTCCTGGGCTCCGTATAGCAGTAGGCAGACAGCAGTATGTAGGAAGTGTGTGGGTTGGCTCTACAGATGACTAATGCCTCTCAGTACATCTATATTCATTGTGAATCCTGTGAAACCATCAATGGCCTCTCCAGTGTTATTATGTAGATCATAAATGCAGATGACATTAAGAGGGGTTATCTGCCACTAATGTATGCATAATCTTAACAACCATATCTAACAAACACATTAATAATCTTGCATAGTGATATTTGCTCCACTTTAGTTTTTGGTTCTTCCAGATTTCTAGTGATTTGCCACTGTATTGCCACTGTATTGTAAGGGATTTGTATGACGTGTATGTGTATACTTGTGTTTCAGATGGCTCGTGGAATTCAGACTCTCCTAAGGTGCTGAAGCTGGGGGTTCTACCAGTAAAGGCCATGCTAGCTGTGGAGGAACATGTCTGGGCTTCCTCTGGAGGACAAGTCTTCATCATCAGCACTACCACACACACTGTGGAGGTAACAAGAGCATCTCTTTATCTCACTTCCTGTATGGATCCCTGCCTCCCTCTCTGTCTCATAACTTTTATATCATCTGGAGGAAGAGTCACACACACATTCACACTGTCATAGAGGTACTTATCTTTCCTATCTCTAATATCTCATAAATTCCCCCTTTCCTTGCTCATAACTCTTATATGTACCAGACCCAGTCTCCCGTCTCTCTGTGTAGTTCAAACAGATACTGAGGCTCATGTGTGAGAGATAAGGCACAAATTCAATATCCTAGCCGCTTCCCAGGTTTATGAAAAAGGAATGTAGGACACACTCGTGGAGGTGTAGAGAAAACACATTTTATTACAGTTCAACTACTATAAAGTGGTGTGGTCCCACTTACAGCTCCAATCTACTATTCAAATATTATATTTCATGCCCTCTATAAAAAGACATTAAGAGTTCTTCTCATGGCGTTGTACAAATATGAAGGATTTGAAAATGAAAGTTGTGATAAACTCTGAATGACCTCTTGATCTGTTCGTTTAACTGAAATGGAAATGATTTTGTCCATAAGTGATTGGAGTTTCCTTCTGCGGTTGCAGAGATGTAGGTGTTGGTGCATTCACCACATTCTCTGGGCATACTTCACATTTCTGTTCTGATACTCCACCATCCCACACCATGCGTCTGCTCTGCTCAGTCTCTCTCGGGCATCGCTGGTTCTGGTAGCTTTACTCTTAAAGATACAGTGCTATCTACTGTTGATGTGGATATGTTGCTCCCTGCTATTAACTATGAAACCACTAGATGAGGTATGGTTGGATGAGAGTCTTAGACATTAGAATGTAGAATGTAGAACATGGCCGGAGGGCGTGTCACGTCTAGTTATCTGTGTTTCTAGGTTACTAATTATTTTTGGCCCAATCTCTGTGATGTCACCTGCACTTGGCTTGGCTCTGGCTTAATTGCGTTACAGAGGTATAGTGGAACCTGGGAGGGGTCTCTCTCGCTCCGTCTCTCCTTGTCTCCCAAGCTCCCTCTCTCCAGGCCCGGTGCGTTTGTGTTGTTCTCTGTCCGTCCTAGAGTCACAGTCCGGGTCACCAGCACCTGCTGTCTGTCCTGGAATAGCAACATTCCTCCTCCCCTCCTCTGACACACAGTCTCATAATCCAGTTAGTGTAATTAGGCTCATTACAGGACCACCTGCCTTTCTCCCCGAAGGCTTACATCCTGGCACCTACATGGGAAAAGGGTGATGGAGGTAGAGAAAGAGGGAGAGAGAGCGGCAGGCAAAAAGGGAAAGAGTGGGAGAGACTGAGGTGAAGAGGAAGTAGAGAGACTGGTAGAGAAATGGGGACGGAGAGACAAACAAAGAAGGGGGGGAGAGGGCGACAAGAAGGGAGAGAATGAGGCTAGAGAGGTCATCTGGGAAGTTCAAGTTTATGTAGGTTCAGTGACACACTACCTGATCTTGTTGTTGTCAATACTGGAACCCTGCTGTGAGGCCTGTGAGACTGTCCTTGGCCAAGTAGAGTTTCCCTTCATTAACAGGGATGAGGAGGGAGATCCCATGCCACACAGCTGATGGCTGTAGAGTAGTGCCTCTCAGGGACTAGGCTGAGAAAATCTCAGGGAAATTACTTAAAAACAACTAAATCCACAATTGATATTGTTTCTGACTGATACCAGTAGAACTGAGGCACAGCGTAGTCTATATTGGGTAAGCTGAAATGCCCTCAGTCATATTTGGCTTTGTAATTAGGGAAATAAAATCATGGCAAGTTTATATCAAACTGTGGATCTATGAAAAGCAGACAGGACTTTCCTCAGAGCTCATGTTTTGACTAAAGCTGATGTTGCTGTTGTGCTCAGCACTACCTATAACAATCCTGCAAATCAAAACACAATAACCACCTCTCTCTGTAGCTCAGCTGGTAGAGCACGGTGCTTGTAGCGCTAAGGTAGTGGGTTCGATCCCCGGGACCACCCATACACAAAAAAAAAATGTATGCACGCATGACTGTAAGTCGCTTTGGATAAAAGCGTCTGCTAAATGGCATATTATTATTATTACTATTATGTCAATTGGAGTAACAAAGTCGATCTTGTATAATTTATTTATGGTTTCTCAAAACAATCTTTAGCCATAACAGTCCACTGTGTAAACTCTACCATTACTAGGATGTGGACAGGGCTCAGCCTCTTAGCAGGCTTACTGTCAGTGTGTCAGTGTGTTGTCACAGCTTAGACAGTACAGTGCATATGATCTCCTGTCTGTCTCTACCCTCTGAAATCACTTGGACAGTTGTATTGTACATTTAGACTACTCCTCAGTGATTTCAGAGGGTAGAGACAGACAGGAGATCATCTATATCTATATATATATAAACATATACATATATAATTATAATAATTTATAATTATATAATTATAATTAGTCATTTAGCAGACGCTCTTATCCAGAGCGACTTACAGGAGCAATTAGGGTTAAGTGCCTTGCTCAAGGGCACATCGACAGATTTTTCACCTAGTCGGCTCGGGGATTAGAACCAGCGACCTTTCGGTTACTGGCACAACGCTCTTAACCACTAAGCTACCTGCCGCCCTATACATACACATACATATACACATACATACATACATATAAATACATATTCATACATACACATACATATACATACATACACATACATATACATACATATACATACATACACATACATACATATAAATACATATACATACATACATACACATACATATACACATACATACATACATACATATAAATACATATACATACATACACATACATACATACATATAAATACATATACATACATACACATACATATACACATACATACATACATATAAATACATATACATACATACACATACATATACACATACATACATACATATAAATACATATTCATACATACACATACATATACACATACATACATACATATAAATACATATTCATACATATATATATACATATCCTTTAAAAAATGTTTCCCTTTATTACTTTCCAACCCCACCACCCCTTCCCTAATTGGAGTAAACTAGTGAACAACAACGCTTAGTCCTCTACTTCCAGCTTATACATACTATATAAATGTTATGGACACAGTCAATTTCACAATAATTATATTTTGTTTGTTTTTACTCCTGAACTTCCTCTACCCTCAACCTCTCCGATCATTTTTATGATGTCCATCCGGTTTGCTTCTATATGCCATATCTTTCTAACTGTGCTCTTTCACAAAAGCTCTCAACCTATAACCTATATACTTATTATGGACACAGTATGCTTTACATTAGTTATCTTGTATCTCAGTGACTTAGTGATGTGTAAATATACTGTCATTCTGAATACAACCATGTAAAATGGCATTTCCTGACAATGTGAGATTGTTGAAGGGCTATGATTCTTTCTGATTAGTGGCTAAGTAGTAGGGTTTTCTCCCACTACTCTAAAGACAGACAAAGCATTTGAAGAACTGACCAATGTGTCATTCGGCTGTGCAGTATAATATCCTCTCTTCCTGTCTTCCTCTCTCCCCCTGTCAGAGGCAGTTGGAGGCCCACCAGGAGGAAGGCATGGTGGTATCCCACATGGTGGTGGCTGGAGTGGGCATCTGGATAGCCTTCAGCTCCGGGTCTACCCTGAGACTGTTCCACACAGAGACCCTCGATCATCTACAGGACATCAACATCGCTACGCCTGTACATAACATACTGGCTGGTAAGATAACATTATCACCATTGTCACTTGTATGCAACATACAGCACTGTCTGGCATGGTATTCAACACATGGTATGCCAGTCCTGCGAACACATTTTCTCTAATACAGTAGAACACAGGAGGCTGCTAGGGGGAGGACGGCTCATAATAATAGCTTGAATGGAGTTAATGGAATGGTATCAAACACATAGAAACCATGTGTTTGATGAGTTCAATTCCATTCCATTGATTCCGTTCCAGCCATTACTATGAGCCCGTCCTCCCCAATTAAGGTGCCACCAACCTCCTGTGTAGTAGAACATACCTTCCACATAGCAAAGCCACTCTCCACAGCTTAACCACACACTCAAAGGTGAACCTTACCTTCAGGATATCAGTATACAGTTACCTTGCTGTGTCCACCCTCAGCCTGCAGTCCTGTGATTTCAATTCTGTTTGCACAAACCACCCAACCATGTCATTGTTGTCTCTGTGTGTCCTCTAAACCAAGTCATTTCATGATTGGATCTTTATGGTAGACTGGGAATGAATGGTTTATTTCTCAACAAGAACAGAGCAGAGCAGGTCTCTCAAAGTAGAAGTGGATCACTTTTGACAATCAGTCATCAGGTCGTCAAGTACTTGGTGGGTTTTTCCCCCAAATATACCCTCAGCTTTTATCCAATGGTTGCGGGTCTTTCTCGTGATGAACTCTCAGTTTCAAAGGGCTGCCTCATGCAGTGCCTGTCTGTAATTAGATGACATCACAGACGTGTGTCCTCGGTGGTTGTGTTGTGACAGGTTGGTTGTTTCGGTTCTCTTCAAATGGTCCTGGTGTAGACAAAGACCTGGGAACCTCTCATTCTGGTCCTTTACTGAACCATCCATTCATTTGACCTCATCAAACATTTGCCATTCATTCTTAACCCAACATCATCCCATTCTCTATTAGGTTTTGTTTTGGGTGTGGGTGAGGGTAGCAAACAAGTTTCAAGCCCCAATCTCTTCTCAAGAAAGATTTTTGCAAGGACTGTCTGGGAGTGGTCTGAGTAGGGAGGGGAAAATGGAAAACTAGATGTTATTGGCAGAGCGGTTTGGAACTCTCTTTGTTATTGGTCTATAAACCAATTTACTGCATGGTGATGTCACCATGGAAAGCCGAAACACCCGTCGATGCAAACCTGCTGATTAGAAGTTCCTGTGTATATTGTATTTTCATCAATCAACTATCAGGAAATAACACTGTTATTTTTTTTTTTTATCACACTTTTACAGTGTTAGTTTCATCAACTGTTGTACAATATCATATAAAACACAGGAAAAACATAATTTTGACTGCAGTGGGCCTTTAAGCTTTGTTGTTTGTAAAGTTACAACTCATTAAAAGCTGTTACAGATGTAGGCCACACTATATGCTTATCAGTAGGTAGAGATGTCTTCATATCCTGTCACACAGGAAAGACTAGGATAGTCATAGATGTTCGTGGTACATTTTGCAAGACTGTTTAGTCATGAATGGCGAGTACAGACCAGTCAGATTGTGTAAAGCTCCTTTGGGTTGGATAAAGGTTCCCAGTACACAGTAATCGGTGTTTTCCCCAGCGCTGGGATCTGAGTTTGGGTAATACCCTTTGGATCCAGAATCGGATTTAGCTCAAGCTTCTAGGGGGGGGGGGTGTGGCCATGGAGACAGCCAACAGGAGTGGTCTACAGTCAACATACTATAATAACAGTATGTACTGTATGTACATTAGGAATTCATATTACCCTGTGTGTCATGATCCCATACAGCACTATACATACAGTACAGTGGGGGACCAAAATAATTGACACCCTTGATAACAATGAGCAATAATAACTGTATTTGCAAAGGAAAAAGCGCAACACTCGCTCACCATTAAAAATGTGTTAAAAGTTAAAAGAAAAATGTTTAAGCTTAAAATGGCCTTCATTGGTTGCACCTCGACTTACGTTGGTTGCGCACCCTCCTCTTCTTTCAATAATAACTGTATAGAATAAGACAATTCAAATACTGAGCTATATTTTATCCTACACTTTGGGGGGTAAATTGTATATTTTATACTAATACAATTGCTCAGAGAAAGAGGTTTTGTTTAACAAGTAAGGTAGGGGTCATAATTATATGCTCATCGTTTGACCCTCTGTAACTTTCTCACTCATCATTATTCATGATTCATTCATGGTTATCCATAATCATGGTAACATCCACATTCATGTAGAAGTGTTTAGAAACATATTATATTCTTATTTACAATAAAAGTGACTCCAAAATGACACAATACATTATTTACCATTCTTTTGTGTAGGGCACAAAATGATCTGAAACACAACCAAAATGAATTGCAAATGCATCCAACAAGTTTGTAGAGTCACAAGCTTGATGTAGTCATTGTGTGCTAGTAATATGGGACCAAATACAACACATTTGACTATTTTATTTATAAGAATATTTAGGGGTGTCAATAATTGTTACCCCTACCTTTTTGAGAAAAACATTGTATTGCTTTTAAACAAAATCTCCCTCGCTGAGCAATTGTATTAGTGTAAAATAATATAATTTACAACAACAAAAATTAGCATACAATATAGTTCAGTATTTGAATTATTTATTCTATACAGTCATTATTGCTAATCTTTATCAAGGGTGTCAATAATTTCAACCCCCACTGTATATATAGTGTATGTAGATACCCTCTCTATGTTGCTCCATTAATTGATGTTGTTACCACAGTAACACACTTATTGCTACAGAGTCCTGTAACTTGGTGAAATCATACGTTGTTTGAGTATGACAAGTTCTGTTTGTCCTCTATGGTAGTGAAGCTCGCCTCAAACATCTTAGCGATGGCCTTAATAGTCGGGATTGTGACAATCAAACCAGATGAAAGTCTGAAAGACAAGCAGCAGACCATAGTGAGGATCTTCATCAGAGCCAGCTGTGTTGTGAATAGCAATCTGCTGTCAGCTCTGTGTCCTACATCAGTCTAGAGAACTAGTCATAATATTTCTCTCCTATCGGTGGCTGCTCTTTAATATTACTACAACAGCTCAGTTGGCTTGAGCCTGTATATTGTCAGTTTCAGCTGCTTGTACTCAGTTGTCAGCTGTAATGTAGTAATGTCAGCCGTGTTATAAGGGTTGATCTGAGTTTTGAGAGGTTCCTTTTGTGATGTTGTCATGAAGTGATTATTGTCCAGCTAGTTACAGTTGTCTACTGTTCCTCTCCTCTGAAGTTGCACAGTATTTTGAAGATGCCGTCCAGTCGACTGTTTTGATCTCAAGTTTGAATTCATTATTTTAAGCTTGACTCTGCTGTGGAGTGTTTATTTTTATATAGTGACAGCTGCTGTGGCTCTGGATCTGTCGGTTTGCGTGTGTGTGTGTGTGTGTGTGTGTGTGTGTGTGTGTGTGTGTGAGTGTGTGTGTGTGTCACTAGTAATTACTAGCCTACAGTAACATATCAGTCTCCTTTTAAAAGCATAATAAACAGTGCTATCATTAGCTGAGTTCTGCCCGTTGTTTATCAGCCCTAGACTGTGTGTACATAGTTGAGTATTTTGGTGCCCTCATCCATTATTACTATAAGGTTTTGTGTACCCTATAAAATATTTACTTTCAAAGAGAGATTAGACACAAAGAAGTACACTATATGGGAGTTACATAATATTTGAAAACCAATGTAAGCAGTCTCATGTAATATATTGCATTAGAGTAAGGGACAATATCATGGCTTCAAGTTGCACAGCAAACCTTGTGTTAAATCTTGGCATATGTCCCATCGTGCATGGTTTACTTGCATGTAGTGCTCCAGTATTTGATTATGCAATCGAATCATGGCTTGCATAAACCTAAGGGTCTCTTAGGGATCACTTTGTGGTTGTTTGTGGAAAAGCAAGAGAGTACACTTTCATTCAGCACAGCATGCTTTGAATATCCAGTCAGTAACTAACCCTACACCTACCCTTCTGGGAAACTCAGCCCAACACCCAGTCCTGAGGTTGAGCAAGGGCTTTCAACACAGATGTGAATGATAAAGCCAGTCTGGAATAATTTAAGACTCCTTGGTCCCATTAACTAATAAGAGACATCAACCACAGAGGAAGTTTCTCTGAAGGAGAGACCTCAGACCAGCGACTTGAAAGACTTCCTCCTCTAGGTCAAGCAGGGTCTCTTACGGTCTGTGTGTATCACCAAAGAGCTGACTTCCTCTGATAACAGCACTGGGTTAATGCCCTATCTACCGTATCTCTCTGTCATGGGACTCTGTTTGTTTTCCTTCCTTAAAGTGGAACAGCCAACTGAACCAACCCCCACTGTACTGCTTTGCCAGTTCTCTTCAACCATGGTCTGAACTGGCGGCCTGCACTGGCTAAACATGTGAATGTGATTTGTCAGGGCAAGTTCAGATTTCTCTCCATGGCCATGGAGGGAGTTGTATTGTATGCCCCTACAACTCTGGATTTGGCTCCTGGTCCGGACTTTTCCACAATGTTCCACCCAGGCACTTATTCTTCAGATGTTGGCAGCTGCTCCCAGATTGATTGACTAGGCCTGAGAACGTATTGTATCTGCAGAGCCTGCTGACTCAGACGGTAGTGTCATTCAAGTCGTTTGGAACTTCACTGGGCCATGGTGGGCGTGGAAGGGGACGGGACGATACCTGTTGAGAGTGAAGGGAAATGGATGCTTGTTGTGGTAGAACTGGAGTGTTTTATTTCAGACTAAAGATGGAACTCCAGATGCACCCGTTAATACTGTGTGAACAAACAACAGGAACCAAGACAGACTAACTACACACTATTTGTGTATTTACAGGGTTTCAGAAGTCTAGCAGAGAGCGGTAAGACAATGTGTGTTATGTGAACTAGTTTTCTCAGCAGTCTAGAGAAATTGCAGACCTCCTGCAGTTTGGCTTGTTTTAGGAAACACAGGTTCAGACAAGGGATTTTAGTTGGGAGGGTGACGTCACCAAATATCTGGAGGGAGTTCACAGTTGCTGGCATAGAATTGAGTGTGAAATGTCCTCAGTGCTCCAGGTGGGGTTGTCCTCCTCATGCTCGCTCATGTTGGAACGATCCCTCGTAAATCCTTTGATTGTACTGAGGAATTCCAGAGAACCGGTATTTCAGAGAACTGTGGTCTCTTTGACTGTAATTAGGTTATAGCTGTTTTCATTTGAATTTCACAGTGATTGCGCAAACGCCCATACTTTGGTGATTATTTTACAATACCTCCTCTGTCCTTCCTTAACCCTTTACAGGGGTTTGGTTTGGTTTGGTTTGGTCAATTTTGATTTGGAAAAACCTTCTGAAAACCTTCCAAAAACCACCCTCAATATATGGTTTGTTTCTTCATTGTGTCTTTGATGTTCCCTAGAGAACAAGTCTGTAGTGAGTGCAGAAGAGGAGGGTCTGTATCACCGGCTTTGTTCGGCCTGACCTAAATACACAGCCATGCGGACACTAATGGCGACAAACATTTGGAGGCCAGGAAACAACACCTCCAGACCCTTCATTACCGTGCTGGCTCTGGGACTGTCTTTCATCTCTCAGCATGGTCACCCAGCGGCCTGGACACGGCCTGGACACAGCCTGGACACAGTCTGGACACAGGAATAGACTGTAGTGCTGTAGCCTCTCTGTCTGGTCCCAGACTTTGGCCTGATATGAACCATCTCTCTAGTGAGATGGGATCAGTGTTTTATATCTAATCCACCCCCTACTAGGGCTGTTACGGTGACCGTATTACCGCCACACCGGAAGTCATGAGTCATGACCGCAGTCAAATTCCACGTGACCGTTTAGTCATGGTAATTACGTTTCTCCAAGCTCTGATGCTGATGGTCATTAGTAGCCTACCAAACTTGCTAACTGCCTGGTACTATTGTCCCTCTAATCACTCTGGCATCAATGCAAATGTCTTCGAAAATCAAATCAAACACTTCATAAGAGCCCATGAGCTCATGTTGCGCATTTCTATAGGCTATGCAATTGCGTGAGAAACGTGAGTTTTTATGGCCTCTATTAAAAAGAAGAGGATTCCATCAGCTTTCTATAGGCTAGACCTACTATATTTATTTCTCAACTTTCCTAATATTAAGCACATTGCTCTGCTTTACAACAGGAGTATAGCCTACCTGGCTGGCATGAAAATTAACCACGAGAAAAGTGTCCTCCATTCGCTATTTAAGTGCATAGATTACATGTATTTTTTTCCCCTGCCCGTGTTCCGAAACTGGTGCATGATAATGGTCCATTCTAAATCAAAACTAATTTCACACATATATTATTTAGTATATGTAAAGACAAGATTAAATCAAGAATAGTCTGATGGGTGACAATATTAGCCTATCACTTGTCATTGATATATTATCACTTGTGAATGATGCCCAGCTTGTGTGCTGGGCATCATTTTTTGCGACTTTTTCAAATGATAGTCCCATACCTCATGTAGGCCTATATGTTTTGATAATAAGGTTTGTATCACAACTAAAGTGGCCAAATGATAATTTTCACCATATAAATGCACCTTTATAATAAAGCCTCACATGCATAATCGCATTTGTGGTAACTTTTGAGAATGGTGTTTTCCCGCTAATAGATTTTGGAACATTCACACTTATAGCCTACTGCTGTGTGTCGCATTGCTGCGCTTATAATGTGAAGAAATAGCCTAATAATTTATCAACATTTTAAGCTAAATGTTCTGATCAGCCTCATTGCTTTTAAAAGGTTTTTTGATGTGAGTGGTTGTATTAATTTGGGATCTATCGCATCCCACAACTGTCCCAGAATATGTTTGGAATATTTATTTCTCACACAGGACAAATTGACCAATAGAATATATCAACTTTTGTACGATGGGGGATAGTAGATTGACATAGGCTAGTGATTTTGCTGTTTGTTAGGCCTACTCATCTTGTTGGCTGATGAAAAATAAACGTGGACAGTTCTAACATCTTCAATATGCACCTCGGAATTCGATAAGAAGGACGCTCGCAGTTGCGTCTCTGTGTCTGTCTTCACTTGTAGCCTACTTCGGAGCTGAAATAGATGCCTGTGAGAAGAACTCGATCACTTGACGGGCATTAGCTAATTAGAATTGAGATATCTGAGAGAGCCATGTGAGTGAGAGGTGCTTCGGAACACACAGCCGGGAGAAGGGAATTATAATTATTATATTCAGCCCAAGGGCACAACGGCCACTTGCCGCAAAAGGCATGGATTTTTTTAGGGTGCATTATGTCCACACTAGGGGGATGCCACTGGGAAATTCGAGGCATTATCAAGTGCTTGTCAAATTGTGAATGAGAGACTGATGAAGTGTGTACAGCCTGTGCAAGAAACAAAGCAGAGCTCATGCCTTTAATGTAACTTTTTTCAAATCATCATTAGAGTCGCATCATGCAGCCTTAGAATGTATTAAAAATCAAAACATATAGCCAAGCGTTTGTATCGCAAATAAAGTTGCATAAATGACTCTAAATTAAGCATATAGGAGGACCTGTTTCTTTGTTAACCGCTCAACACAGAATAGCTGCATGTGCGCACTCCCTCAGAAATCGTTTGTAAAAAACATACTTTCTATTTTATTCAGCTATGTTCAATTGTATTCTTCATACTATAAAATAATATATAATAATACCACGGAATTCTAAGCAAATCTTGTCTGCTAAATGAACTAGTGTAGCCCACAGCCATATGGTATAGCCAGATCAAGGCCTAACATAAGGACAACTCAGAGTATGCTATTCTGTTCTTCATATCATGTTTCTATTATTGTGATGGTGTAGGCTATATAAATGGATTTATTAGATGTTCCAAAGCATCAGTGGCTTGTAGGCTATGTGTGGAAGCCAGGAGATGCTAAATGTGTTTATGTTAATTAACGGTCAATTAACATGAGACCGGCAGTTATTTGCTTGACAATCACCGGCTGACAAAATGTAATGACCGCCACATCCCTACCCCCCCATCCTCCTGCTAGTGTAATATCAGTGTGGACTGTAGGCCTAATGTTTTCTATCAGCACCCCCTTACTTGCTAGTGTAATATCAGTGTGGACTGTAGGCCTAATGTTTTCTAGATGTGGGGGATAAGTGCAGATCAAAGCAGACCTCTGGTGTGGGATCAGGAACAGGCCCGGGCTGTGTCAATGCTTGTCCTGGTTTATTTTGGTTTGGGCTATGGGTGGGGAACTTCAAATATTATGAAAGGAGGAAGTCTAGAAATGCACCCCAGTGTATTTCCTCAGAGGGGTGAACTCTGGGGGAGCTGGGGGTCGGGCAGAGGGATCAGCGGATGATTTGGCCAAAGCCCTGGGGGGTTCTGGGAGGGAGGTTACTCTAGCTGCAGTGTATAATGGGTAGTGCCACTCACAACTGGAGCCTTGACAGGCTCTCTCAAACAGAGTCATACCTGTCCATATTGACGGTTTTGTCAAAAAGCATTTGCATGAACAATTATTGGCATCATTAAGCATGTTAAGGATATTCTCCACATTTGTCTGTTCACTCTTTGTAGTGCTGCTTGTTCCCATGGTAAAGCTAATATGTAAACGAGTGCCAAGTTCCACATAATAAGTCACTAAACATTGTTCGTCAGAAGACACAATTAATCACCGTACTCTGAAAGGTGCTTTTATCTTAACAATGACTGTGTTTACAGTACAAAGTGACATTTCATACTGAATTGATTTGTGACTGAGGGGGAGGACAGGACACACATAGTCCTTTCTGTCCCAGCGCGCTCTAGGCTTTTTGAATAGAACCACAGTTGCTTGTTTAATTACCACATTACGGTTCGCTCATTCTCTTATTTAACACTTTTGTGTTTGTTTGACTCAAGGCGGACTATAATCCAATAGTGAAAATAGCTTTTTTTATATTCCTGCTCCTCTTTCGGTTGCCCTGGAGACCATTGGCTGTTAAGCGTTATTGCCCTAGTAACCTCCCCACACACTAAGCAGAAATACCTCCCTCCCTACCACTGTGTTCTTTTTCATTTCTATGAGACATGATTATACTTCTGATTGTAAATATCTACTTATCTCCTACTGTGTTATGGTGTGAGGTCAAACTGCATGACTCCAGAAGTCGTTCTTCAATGTCAACTATTACCTATTAAATATTTTTTTTTAAATCATAATTTGACAAAACCAAGTGGTCAGAACATTTTGTGCAATACTACAGCCCACTGGATTACTGCTCTCTACAAGTTCTTCCAGAATTTAATTAATATTCTGCAGATTCATGTTGTGAAGATGTGTTGACAATGTATTTTCTGTCCATAGGAAACCACAGGGTCTCTGTGAGCAGTCTGCTGGTATGTCATGGTCTGCTGCTGGTGGGGACCAACCTGGGGGTGACAGTGGCCCTCTCTGTCCCTAGACTACAGGGCATCCCCAAGGTCACAGGTGAGTGCATCTTCTTCTGAAGATTATTCCAGATGATCAAAACATCCCAATGAGGATTCCTATGGCAATCCATCCATTTGGTATCATAGTTTTGGGGTAAAAATGGGGATTTGGGAAGGGGTGTTTAAGGACTTTGATAGCCAATAGCATGTCATTGTAAATGGAGCACAACATGGGTTAATGGGCCTCAGTCATTATCCTTCAGGTCCCAGCCCACCCCTGCCTGGTTAGTTTAGTGTAGCTTTTCTTATAATGATACTGTCTCTCAATTGATATAATGACTCAAAGCCAATTTCCGCGTGCCTCCGGTCTACAGAATTCTTAGTCTCTGGAGGCTTCTGCCAAAAGCAGGCAATTTCAAACATGCAGTGCATTCGGAAAGTATTCAGATCCCTTGACTTTTTCCACATTTTGTTACATTACAGCCTTATTATAAAATTGATGAAATAGTTTTTTTCCCCTCATCGATCTACACATAATACCCCATAATGACAAAGCAAAAACAGGTTTTTAGACATTTTTGCAGATGTATTAAAAATAAAAAACGAAAATATCACATTTACATAGGTATTCAGACCCTTTACTCAGTACTTTGTTGAAGCACCTTTGGCAGCGATTACAGCCTTGAGTCTTCTTGGGTATGACGCTACAAGTTTGGCACACCTGTATTTGGGGAGTTTCTCCCATTCTTCTCTGCAGATCCTCTCAAGCTCTGTCGGGTTGGATGGGGAGCGTTGCTGCACAGCTATTTTTAGGTCTCTCCTGAGATGTTCGATCGGGTTCAGGTCCGGGCTCTGGCTGGGCCACTCAAGGACATTCAGAGACTTGTCCCGAAGTTGTCTTGGCTGTGTGCTTAGGGTCGTTGTCCTGTTGGAAGGTGAACCTTTGCACCAGTCTGAGGTCCTGAGCGCTTTGGAGCAGGTTTTCATCAAGGATCTCTCTGTACTTTGGTCTGTTCATCTTTCCCTCGATCCAGACTAGTCTCCCAGTTCCTGCTGCTGAGAGTCTTTAGGTACCTTTTAGCTAACTCCAAGCGGGCTGTCATGTGCCTTTTACTGAGGAGTGTCTGGCCACTCTACCATAAAGGCCTAATTGGTGGAGTGCTGCAGAGATGGTTGACCTTCTGGAAGGTTCTCCCATTACCACAGAGGAACTCTGGAGCTCTGTCAGAGTGACCATTGGGTTCTTGGTCACCTCCCTGACCAAGGCCCTTTTCCCCCAATTGCTCAGTTTGGCCGGGCGGCCAGCTCTAGGAAGAGTCTAGGTGGTTCCAAACTTCTTCCATTTAAGAAGGGTGGAGGCCACTGTGTTCTTGGGGACCTTCAATGCTGCAGACATTTTTTGGTACTCTTCCCCAGATCTGTGCCTCGACACAATCCTGTCTTGGAGCTATGTCCAATCAATTGAATTTACAACAGTTGGACTCAAATCAAGTTGTAGAAACATCACAAGGATGATCAGTAGAAACAGGATTTACCTGAGCTCAATTTTGAGTCTCATTGCAAAGGGTCTGAATACTATATGTAAATAAGGTATTTCTGTTTTTGTTTTTTATACATTTGCAAAAATGTCCAAAAACCTGTTTTCGCTTTGTCATTATGAGGTGTTGTGGGTAGATTGCTGAGGATTGTTTTTTTTTTGTTGCCATTTTAGAATAAGGCGGTAATGTAACAAAATGTGGAAAAAGTCAAGGGGTCTGAATACTTTCCGAAGGCACTGTATGTAGTTAATACCATTATTTTCCAGTAACGTTAGCTGTTGATTAGTGCATTTGTATGTGTATACTGTATATGGAGTAATGTGTGTCTGGATATTTGGCTGTCGTAGGACGGGGCATGGTATCTTTCCATGCCCACAACGGCCCAGTGAAGTTCCTCACCATGGCAGCCGCCGTGTGCAACCGGCCCTCAGGCAACTCAGACAGCCCAGGCAGCAGCCCACCCAGCCAGCCAGGGGACACCCAGGACGGGGAGAAGGCACAGGCCTCCGCACCTCCACCCCCAGGCTCCACACCCACTCCTGCTGCTACTCAAGGCCGGGGTGTGTGGCTGGGGGAGGCAGGCTGCACCTCCATGGCACTCCAAGACTCCCTGTCGTCCTCCTGTGGCTCCCTGGCTCTGTCCCAGTGCTCTCTGGAGCATGGGCCTGAGGATGGGGCCATCTATGACCTGGTCAATGACCCAGCCCGTTATCAGAGGGGCAGGAGGGTCAAGGAGGTGGACGTCAGCTCTCTGCTGGTGGTGTCGGGGGGGCTGGGTCACCGCAGGGTCAACAGAAAGACCAGACAGTCCCGCCAGGAGGAGACGGTGTCCACCATTATGGTGTGGCAGATCCCTCTTCTCAACATGTAAGAGACCAGAGACTAGAGATTAACTATCACAGTGCAGCAAGGTAGGGATCATAGTCACTGTAGTAGTCACTAGTGTTAATGGTTTAATAACCACTCATAAGACAGTAGTAATAATCCTTTGAAGTCTCCCCATACTCCTCACGCTCTTATTGTCTCACTTTCTCTTCAGGGTGAAGACTGAGGGTGCTGCAGTTCCTACTTGAAGTCAGTGACACAACTCCAAAGGATGTCCATTGCCATGGTTGTCTGGACTTTGGGCTTAATCAACTCAACCATGTGTCTTACAATGAAAAATACTTCAGAGGACATTCCATAAACAGTTTGAAGAGTTTCTTATGGTGTCTCCCACCCAAAAACCTGTAGCCTTCTGTACATGTGAGGCATTCCCATTGGGTCAATACCAAGGGATCAATACACTATAACCACTTATTCATGGCACCTGACTTTGCTTACAGCATCCAATTCCTGAACCGTTAACACCGTGGTGGAAGATGAATCCAGTGAAGATATGGCCTTAATGTCATTCTTACTATGTCATTTTCATAGAGGAGCTATGAAATGTTACTTGTCTTCTTCAGTTGTTATAACATGGCTATATATTCTGTGTTACTGAGACATTGGGCCAGATCATCAATGTTGATAGCACAATAATTGTATCGGGGGAGAGTATGAAAATAGACACGTAAATTTCAGAAATTCCCATTTTCCCATGTGGAGGTTGAGTGACAAGTCGGGCAAAGTGACTTTTCGTCTCTGTGGCTTTGAACAATGTCTACTCCGACACTTCCACTGTTAGGTAAAGGCATATTCTTTGGGGCCAAAGCCCTCATATTATGATCATCTCCATTTGGCCAGTCTATGTTCTATGAATTGGGTCTGTTTATAGTTATGCTTACTTGTTTGTTATTTGGTCAGGGAGAGGTCCTTTGCAATGGTGTCCTTATTTCACTGGAACACTGAAGCTAAACATTTCCTTATAGTTGTCATCAGGGGGCTATGGAGGGTGTGTTTCTGAAAGGTATGATGGGACTTCCTGGCTGGCCAGGTTTCCTGGAGATCCTAAATGGAGGGAGAGTCGCTAACTGTTACCAGATTAAAAGAAGAAAGGGTTGTTACTTGCCCAAATAAATGTTTTGTCACTAAAGGGTATAAAAAAAAAATGCTTTATACTTTTGTCACATTTTGTATGTACTTCTGTTGTGTATATTAACACATCTTTAAACAATGTTTAATTCAGCAGATTTATGTTTTCTTTACATACTATGTCTACGTTTGTTTTCATCTAGTTTTAATGTATGCACACTCAGTTTGCTCACCTTATATCAACAAAAAGGAAATACTGTAGTTGCGCTATTTCACATATGCTGCCAGTATGTATAGCCTCAGGTGTTTGGTTCAATGCCAAGCTCTAAATACATCTCTCCACACTGAACATTGAGGGTCTTTCTTTATTGTTTGCATAACTACATGTTGTGAATGCACTACCTTAGTACCTGTGTTAATCTGAAACCCTAACTGTATGGTTTGTATTTTGAGAAATAAAGGAGAAAGACGGCAAGGAAATGGTATACAAGGTTGGGGAGTAACTGATAACATGTAATCGGTTACATGTAATCTGATAATAATCAAAAACAATTGTAATCAGATTACATATACTTTTGAAGAACTAGATGATTACTTCTTGGATTACTTTTAAAATTAAAAAAGTACATTTGCGGAAAAATACATTGAAACCTTTCTGTTTTCTCAATGACATTCAATTCGTAGTCCCCTGTAGCTCAGTTGGTAGAGCATGGCGCTTGCAACGCCAGGGTTGTGGGTTCATTTCCCATGGGGGGCCAGTATGAAAAATGTATGCACTCACTAACTGTAAGTCGCTCTGGATAAGAGCGTCTGCTAAATGACTAAAAAAAAGAAATTCAGCATTGAAAAAAAGTGCAAGTTTAAGTTAGTTCCACCTGAGTGAGTCTGATCACAAGTCAGAGACCACTATGATGACACACCAAATGTGTTTGATGGATCCTTTTTGTCTTCTTCTAATGCCTCTTAAAGAAAAATTACACCCCAAAATGATCATTTGGTATTTGTTTCATTAGTCCATTGTTGACATAATCCCAAAATGTTTTGCTTGTCAGCAATCAAGTTTTCAAGATATGTAACTTTCAAAATACAGAACTCATCCCCATATGATGCAGTTTTTGGGTGGAGTTTTCCTTTAAGGGGAAAGTAATCCAAAAGTTACAAAGTAATCAGATTACGTTACTGAGTTTGGCTAATCCAAATGTTACATTACTGATTGCAGTTTTGGACAGGTAACTAGGAACTGTAAGGATTACATTTAGAAAGTAACCTAGGATTACATTGAGAAAATAACCTTTCCAACCCTGAAATATGTGCTGCAAGAATAGCTTTGTTAATCTAACCTTCTGGATGATGTGCTGCTATCAATTCATGTAAGGACAAGCTTTTGCCCGGAGTGCAGTAAGAACTGAGGGTGATGCAGTTCCTGAGGATTTCATGTGCTCTCATTCTCTCAGCTGGTCAGGAACTTCTTTGTTTCATGCCGCCCACATAGTGTTACACAATCATGTTGAAATGTATTACTGTATTATCTGTGTTAATGCAAATATATTGTAGAACTTGAAGTTCAGTGTCCCTGCCTTATCCAAATGATTCCCCTTATACCATATTATTCCAGTAATAGCTTACTCTAATCGAATGTGCTGTATCGTGAACCCAAACATTTTTCACAGGATGTCTCATTTATCTAATGTCCTGATGACTATTCTGTCTTGGGGATAAAGTTCAACCACAGTGATGAAGTAGGCTACAGACTGTATTTATTAACCAGTGGAGATATACAGACCAGCAGCACCTCAGTAACACATACTGTATCTAGGGCCCTGCTTTTGGACAATCATGTGGCATGCCTGGATTTTAACCTTTATTTAAAGGTTAACTGTCCCCTTTTCTTTCTATGTCAGATGCTCCAGCGCCATCCTCAGACCATTGCTTTCATTTTTGGTGTAATTCTCATTTCTTGATAAGGCTTAAAATACTGGATAAAATCTTGCTATGTCACATGATTGCGCAAAAAGCAGAGCAATCCCAGGCTTCTGCCCTGTCTGACTGTTGTCATTCATCACACTGGGGGATAGCCTTGACTCGCAAGCACACAGTTTGTTTTTTCGGATCCTGCATGGTTTCCATGGAGAACTGTCAATGGTCTGTGACAGAATGGCTGTGTGTGAGTGTAATTTCTCTCCTCACAGCATGTGGATGTGTTGTGTGTGGCATGTCTGCTCCTCAAGATAATACTGATGGACAATCATGCATTATATTCTGAACATGGAAGATTGTGAATCCTAGAATGGATTGAATTTGTTGTCGCCATGACATGCTTTTTCTCTGTGCTCTCTGTGTTCATCTGTCCCAGGTAGGAATGCTGCAGTATAATCCATGGGGCTGATTGTACTCTGGTGCCCTTGTGTTGGCCCAGAGTGGCTCAGCTATTTTTATATCTAAAAGGACAGTGCAACCTCCAGAGAATGGGAGGATAAGGATGCTGGATAAAACTGTCTCCGTCTTTAACTGGGATACTGATATGAGACACACTGACATGTTTAGCTATTGTGGTTGTTTTGCTGGTTCTTAACCTTTTCCCTCATATTCTCACAAATTTAAGGGAAGCACTCGTTTGCGCATTGTTTTTTCTCTTTTCCATTTGGGTCATATTTTGTTTTGGTTTTTTTTGTCAGATTTGCAATAATTTGAGAGACTGGCCTGAAGGAGAGAGAGGCTTATTTACAGTGCCTTCAGAAAGTATTCAGACCTATTGACTTTTTCCACATTTCATTGTGTTACAGCCTGAATGTATGGAATAAATTGAGATGTTGTGTCACTGGCCCACACACAATACCCCATAATGTCAAAGTGGAATTAAGTTTTTAGAATTTTTTACAAATTAATTAAAAATGAAAAGTTGAAATGTCTTGAGTCAATAAGTATTCAACCGCTTTGTTATGGCAAGCCTAAATAAGTAAAATGTGCTTAACAAGTCACATAATAAGTTGCATGGACTCAATAATAGTGTTGAAAATGATTTTTGAATGACTACCTCATCTCTGTACTCCACACAGACAATTATCTGTAAGGTCCCTCAGTCGAGCAGTGAATTTCAAACACAGATTCAACCACAAAGACCAGGGAGGTTTTCCAATGCCTCGCAAAGAAAGGCACCTATTTATTGGTAGGTGGGTAAAAATATAGAAAACAGACATTGAATATCCCTTTGAGCATGGTGAAGTTATTAATTACACTTTGGATGATGTATCAATACACCCAGTCACTACAAATATACAGGCGTTCTTCCTAACTCAGTTGCCGGAGAGGAAGGAAACCGCTCAGGGATTTCACCATGAGGCCAATGGTGACTTTAAAACAGTTACAGAGTTTACTGGCTGTGATATGAGAAAACTGAGGATGGATCAACAACATTGTAGTTACTCCACAATACTAACCTAAATGACAGAGTGAAAAGAAGGATAAAAATATTCAAAAACACGCATCCTGTTTACAATAAGGCACTAAAGTAAAACTGCAAAAAATGTAGCAAAGAAATGAACTTTATGTCCTAATACAAAGTGTTATGTTTGGGACAAATCCAACACATCAATGAGTACCACTTCATATTTTCAAGCGTCGGCAAGGACTAGGCAGTTTTGTAGGATAAAAAGAAACAGAAGAGAGCTAAGCACAGGCAAAATCCTAGAGGAAAACCTGGTTCAGTCTGCTTTCCAACAGACACTACTAGACAAATTCACCTTTCAGCTTGACAATAACCTAAAACACAAGACCAATTATAGACTGGAGTTGCTTACCAAGACCATATTGAATGTTCCTGAGTGCATAGTTACAGTTTTGACTTAAATCGGCTTGAAAATTGATTTTTTTTTAAACCATTTGTCATTATGGGGTATTGTGTGTAGATGGGTGAGAAAA